TCATGCTGCTCAAAGCTCCATCACCACAAGTTTATGCCCTAGCATTTGCCCCAGCTTATCTCCTGGCTACGCTGTTTTCTGCCTCTTCCATTCCTGCATGAGGCTCTTACCATTCCTTTTTTTCTTTTATTTTTTGTAAGAATCAATCTGGACCAACTTTTCTACCAGTTTGCAGTTCTCTGCAACCTTTTTTGATTGACTCACATTCAGAGAAACATTTTAGATGCTCCTGTCGTACTTACTGAAAGTTCTCGGTTTTAAAGTCCTAGGATTGTGGGAATTACAGCTATTACTTTTTTTAAAGGTTGCTTTCTACACCTCTTGCTTGTAAAGAAAATCCTGACAGTGTCACCTGTAAGAAACAGATGGCAATTAATTTATTTGTAAATAAAGTAGGGATCAAACAATTCTCAAGAAACTTACGGTTTTTGAGCAGTGGAAGAGGATAAAGTGGAAATCTATCTTTTTCTTTCTTCATTGATGCTCAGCAAGTGCCTTTTTTTTTTTCCCCTCCATGAATTCTGTCCCTTTGTCTCTTCCCTCAGAACACTCTGATAGAATTCTTGCTTACAACCAGTACATTTTCTTAGCTCTGTCAGCTCATTCATGTACCTGTATTTTCAATATACAGGTTTTTCAAAGACAATTCAAGAACCTGTATAGGTTTCATTTGACTAAAAACATTATATTTTATGCCTATTTACTTAATTTTAATGTCTTTTTTTCTATTAAACTAATTGTCCATCAAATAACATGCAGCCAATATTAAAGTTGACAAAAATTAAATTATGTTTTGAGTCTTTCCTGTGGATTTCAGACAGGATACTTTGGTCTTCCTATCTTATCCTTTGGTCTGACAGAATTACAAAGGCATTATTTAAATTTTCTTTTTCAAACTATGTATCTACAGGTGACTGCATTCTATCTGAGCTGTGTTGTTCAGTACTACCCATAAGCAGTAACTTCTGTTTCAATTTTTTCTTCTTCCTGTGTTACTGAGCACTTCTAAGATATTTATCATCATGCATAATTTCAATCTTTCTTACAGTGTTTTGCAAAATCATGAAGATCACCAGCATTACAAGTTTGTGAGTAGATAACCTCAAGCAAGAATGGTAATTTCCTAAATCTCCGAGACCAGCTGGAGCAGGAGCCTGCACTACATCTTTAGGCTGTACTACCACCCATCGACTTAAAGTAGAATCAACACAAGCAGCAGCACGGACAAAGCCTCTACTCTGCAGCTGCAGCAGATTCTGCCACAGCAGATCCTAGCTCCTACAAGGCTGTGAACCCCAACAATTGAAGACTTCTCATTCCTGGTGGATTTAGCAGCAGTGGCTAGAGATTAACACCCCTCATTATGAAAAGAGTCCTTGGCGGTAGCTAAATCTGACAGGGATTTTGGCTTTTCAAGGCAGGACTTGTGTCTGGGCATACAGGATTTTCATGGTAGCTGGTACAAAACTAGAACTTCTGTCTATGAAAACCGAGGGAGTTTAAAACAGACAGGGTTTTGTTTGTTTGTTTGTTTTGGTAAGAGAACCTGAAAGCATTTACCATTTTCAAATGTAAAGTTCTCTTCACAGATGCAGATGTCAGTTATCTTGCTCTTCTTTCTAATCCTGGAAAGTTTCACTCAGGATCACTCTCTACAGCTTCAGTACTTGAAAACAGTTCATGTGCAGGACAGAATCCAAAGTAAGCTTGCTACTAATTTCTTAGTATTGCAGGTAAAACTACTTAACCTTGAAGGCTATTGCCAGTAGAAGTAATGGTTAATTGCCACAGATTTTGAAAATGTCAATTAACCCAGTGTGTCTCCAAATCTTTAAACACAACTTATTATTTTGTGAGAGAAACCATTTAATTGGTTTCTTTTCATGTCAGCAATGTGCATCCTTTTATAATTTCTTTAGGCTTTATAGCACCTGCTCAAGAGTATAGCATTGCTCAAGAGTGGAACAAAATGTGCAGGTCAAAAAAATAAATACAAATATTGATCTTTATGTCTACTTCAGACATGGTTTATCATGTAATTAAATATTTAGGTAAGACAGATCATGTTGATTTTTGTCCAGGAGATATGGAAAATGTGGATCTCGAACATTCAATCCATCCTGCATATCTTATGAATGGAGCTTTTATCATATCTATTCATACATCTTACAGTAAACAAGTATATTTAAGTAGGTGCCAACATTACTTTCACTGAGACACTTGCCTAAAAGGTTCTTAACTATAGGTACATAAATTTTAGCAATATCTCTGATGGGATAACTTTAAAATACTTCACATCACAGGAAAAAAAAAGATTTGTGTTTAACTTTGGTTGATATTTAACATTAGCTCATTTCATACACTTGATAACTAACCTTCAGCAGCTCAGCTCACTAAACATAATCTCTTACTTTACATCAGTCATATTTAAAGAGCTCTTCATGTTAAAAACAGGTCATGTAGTGCTATTGTTCCTGGCTTCATATCTTGGAACCCAAGCAAGACGAGAAAGATAAACAGCATACAGAGAAAAATAGAAGTACAGCTTTCTGTGCATATGAATATCAGTATCAGTAGATTTTGAGATTTAGTTTTCAGCAGGCAAAACCAGTAAATATTGACCCTAATTAATGATATAGTCCTTACTGGTTTTACACTAATCCAAGATAACAACAGCAGACAGAATAAATGAATATTCTGTGAGTCTTTCCTTACTGAGTGTGACCACTTGAGGGTTTTCTTTTTATTTGCTACTCCTGTTTGGCGAGACTCACCAAGGAAACAACCAAGGTAGCACAAATTCAACAACAGAGTGCATATGTGCATCTTGTCAGCATCACGAGAATGCCTTAATTTTATAACCTTTCTAGACTATGGTTCACAGAACAACCATGACCTTATTCTGTATCATGTATTTAAAAAGCCACAAGTTATTTGTTGTCTGTACCTTTACACCATTTCTTTAATATATCTTCCATGTGCTGTCCATTACTTTCAGCATTAAAAATATTTTGAAGCATTTACAACATATAACACTAGTTATAGGAATTGCCTAGTTTGTTTGTGGTGTGCTCTGAAGATTAATTTACATTTCCCATACAACTGTTTAACAGAAATGCCCACTTAAGAATACATGAATTTTTCTTCTTAGTAATTTGAACAATACTGTGTGACACTCAGCTGTATAGACTTGTTGAGCTGTTTATTAGTCTAATGTTTTAAGTTATATTATCTGTTTAAAATAACTGCATTTTAACTATAAGCAGAGGGTAAAATTTCTATGTGAGCAGTTGTTTCATTTAATAAAAAAGCTGTTTTACTTTAACATTTGTTAGTACTGTCAGTATGTTTAAGAGTATTTGGCTGTAGCCTTATGTTGTTACAGTAAGTTTTAGGTATGTATTTTCATCAGATTTCACTAAGGACTGATAAACCTTCAAGCATTATTTATGCATAAACTGAAAGGCACCCTACCTTTTAGAAAAATGCAACTGTTGCTGAAGTGGAATATCTAAATAGTGAAATATTTAGGTACTGATGAAATCGAGTAGCCGCCCTCTTCCAAGTCAAATGTCTATTCCTTTGTGTATGTTTGCATATAGTTATTTTTCTAGACTATGTTAAAACTCAAGTAAGTTTTATAGTAGAAGTGCTTTTGGAGCCCACTAATTTTGACTTCACTATCTTTTTTTAACTAAATGTTAAACTTTAGCATTAAGTTTAAAGCAACTAAACTAAAGTTTAAAACTAAACTAAAGCAACTAAAAGTTCCTCCAGGTACTGTTCAGAACCTGGTCCTTGCTGTAGTTGGGAAACAAGACCATATGGTTATCAAAGCTTTATCTATTAATATATAATCCTTGCTTTACAACTGCATACTTGCAACACAAAACCAGTAGGCACATTGTTGTTTCCCCAATACATTCCTTACTTCTCTGAAATTTGAATTTTGGACATTTGTAGTGAATTACATTGGCAATAAAACATTGTTCAGAGGAATACAGCAACTTATGATAAACAGATATTGTTAGATATTATACAAGGCTATAGGCAAAAAGGTTCTCAGAAACAATGGTGCAGTTTGATTACTGTCAGGTGAAATGCAAGATCACAACAGAGGTTAGATAGCCATTAGTTTATTGATAATATACTCACACTGCAGTCAGCACGGGGAGTCCCAGTAACCACACAGAAGGTTGTGAGGGAAAAGCAGACAGTTTGGTCAGGCACCCGATCAAGGCTCAGTCCAGTGACATCCCTGCCTCAACTTAGATACTACTTCTTTTTTACAGGAGGTTTTACATGTATCTGATACCCACCTGGTTACACATCAAACAATACAACGCTGCAATAATTAGAAGCTCAGATCATTGTGACCTGAAGACCATCAGTGGGGGCAGGATGATGGCTTTATGAACTGGGATTAGATCACATGTCAAGCTATGTCCTTGACTCCTCGCCGATCTTCCAAGTGCTCCCCGGCAAGCTGTACATCCCAACGTGGCGCATTTCTCTGTACAAACTACAAGGACCAGGTTCCAAAATTTGAAGTACATTATTTTATGCATAGTTTTTCTTTCACATCAATCAGTACATTAGAAAAACAAAACAAAAAAACCCTCACAAAACAAAAGACATCCTTGTGGTACAGCTATTTACACTTGCAGTGGCACAGATAATTACGTGTTAAAAAATTTTCTTATATAAAAGTATGTTTCCTATTATCTCCTCATTTTAAAAAAAAAAAATCTAACACAAAGTATTCTGAAGTTCCTTTCCCAATATAATTTGAAAATTTATACTGTGTTTTAGGAAGACTTTTGAAATAATATACACAAAAATTACCTGAAAATACTGCCTGAAGGAAGACCATGAGAATCAGAATGGCAATATGCCATCAGTAATGCTCAGAAATGCAGCTATTTTGAGGTTAGCATTTCTTTTGTTCACTTGGCTATCTCTATGCTGGTTGAGTCATATCAATCCCAAAGCAGAAATCATCAATAAGGTGCTTCATTAAGACATGGAAAATAGTCTTCAGTCTTGAAGAGAACTGGAGGTTCGTAGAGGGTCTGTTGTCGTGAGGAAGATGATTTCTGCAAATTAGATAATTTTATTTTTTGCCTTCTCAAAAAACCAAGTTTTAAAACAAAGCCTACAGAGTTAAAATGCAAAACAATAGAGCTTTTAAAGGCATATCTCCTTACTCAGGTGAATTTTTAATCACAGCTTAGATAAGTCTGGCGTATTGTTAATGTTGGCAAAGAAAATCAACCTTTGACTTTTACCATTCTATGACCTGAACAGACTCGGTCCTGGAAAGGGTAAAATGTGCCAGCTTAGCAGGAGCCAAATGGGCAATATTTTCCAGCTGATGGTACAGTCATTGTAACCTTCATCCTTTCAAATCCCTATACCTTTCCTGCTCTACCCTTTGATTTCTCCTCAACCGCTTTCTTTGAGGTAACCCTAGCCTGGGCTCTTATTTACTCTGTTAAAAAAAGTCTTCATATGGAAACATATGTAGCAAATGTTTCTTTTGAGACCTGGCTCCTGCTGAGCTTCTTCACCAAGTATGTGTTAGAATGTATATACTATGTCATACTGTTAAAAGTAACATGGCAGTGGACTACAAAAGACCTGTTACACTGGTTTTCAGGAAAAGCACAGGCATTCCATTCAAATGTTAACTGTACACTGGTTTGCTATACCAAATGGCTCGTTCAAAGAGACAGCAACAAGGACAACTATTGACTATCGTGTCAGCTTTCCTGCACATGAATAATGCTGTGCTGCAACACAGACCCAGTGTGCGTTTTCAATGTATGGTCTAAAATAGAAGGCTTGAAATCCAGACTTCATTCATTAAAAATTCTTTTTGACTCATAAAAAGATTTTGATGAACTATTTTGCAGAGTTCTCAGTCAGTTTGTCTGCAGAGTTCTTCAGACACTTTTCCCCCTGTCTGGGATGAAGAAATTAGTCTTCACCAATAATAAAGTTAAAAGCATACCAAATGCAATTAGTATACTTGGAGTGTGGAATGCTTTTACAGTACCAAACTAAGGATACAATCAACCATACCTACAAAACAGCTAAGTGGAATTTTACCAATATTCAGTTGAGCTGTATACTTGTACTCCATATGAAATTTCCTGTTATATACAAAAATGCTGATTTATGACATTTAAATTATATTTCTCTTTAACTTTATGATGCCATTACCTTCTCTGAAATAAGTTTGGTTTGCCATTCAAGTTGTAATAAAATAAAAAAATATAAACAAATATCAGATCTGTAAATAGTGGATATTATCAATGTTCTCTGTATCAGAAATCTTGTCAAATGTAAAGACAAACTTTGAAATCAAAGTCCTGTTTTTAAAACTTATTTCCTATCCTGTACTGCCCTATGAGAAAACACCTTGCAAGCAAGGGAAACTAAGGTCACAGGTATTTTGCAACTCATGATGCTGATTTAAGGGGCATTATATTTGCCTATATGCAAGGGGATAATTTCAATCCAGTGAGGAAATTCATAGGCAGGCACAGTACTGACAGTTGCCTAAGTACACACTGATGAACAGTTATTTTTGCAGCTGCTTAGCAGACATCTTTACCTTTTGAGAGAATCTACATCCTTAGTGATATTAGAAGTCTTAGAGTACTGTACTTTACACTGCCTGGTATTCACAAGGGAAGAACTCGGGGCAAAATCTGAAAGTAAGATTATAAATATACTGCTTAAGAAATACAAAATGCATCTTTTGTGTAAAGAAGCAGATACTTTTACATGTGAAGACCGTGAGGGATTTTGACTAAACTCAAATGGTAGCAAGAAAACATGAACTACAGCTACAGTGAAAATCAGGATATCGGTATAGCCTTCTTTTCCAAAGGGCTCATATATCAAGTGACCTCATTAAATGTTAGGCACAAGGAGAAATCTCTGCAGGCATTTTCCTTTGGACATACTTGTGTTTACTAGTGAAAACAGGTACTTTACTATGCAATACCCAGAACCACTGCGGAACAGTGAGATGCCTTTTAATTAATCAATTAATACCAGGAAGTTCTGAGGGTTGGTTTTGTTGCTATCCATACTCAAACCAGGAAACTACTGGACATGCCAGGTCCAGCTTGCTGACACGTTCAAAGATGTTCCACCTTACTCATTGAGGAAAAAGCTGTCAAAGTGTTTCCATGCAACACTAAAAAAGCACTTTATTAGAAATTTCAAACTTCAATTGAAGATTATAATTCTGTGGTTGACAACTGTTTTTAGCAACAAAATGGAAAATACTGTTGAATATTCCTCAAGGCAACTGCTTCAGTTGTTTGGTTTTTGCAACTGGGCCATAAATAGCAGCTTTGTGCTGTTTTTTCAAAAGAAAAAAATTACATCACTCAACTTCAACACCAAAGAACATGATGGAATGAGAAGTTAGCCAACTTAAAGGCTACAGGCTTCTGGAACTAAGTGTCACTAAGACAATACATACTTTTTACAACTACTTTTCTCTGCTGGCACACATGCTTGCAATACGTAGGAGCACAAATACTTTAACAGTCATAGCCACCTTCCTCTCCCCCTCTGCAAACCTACTTTATTTCAGCATTCTCACCACTATTACGATTCAGAAACCTGAGCTTGTATAGGATGAATATAGGAAAAGATAAATAAAAGAATCTGAAAGCTGACAAGATACAAGGAATAGTTATAAATGGCATACTGGCAATTGATGCCAAGAAATATCAGGTGTTCAGATATTTTTTTTTTCAGTCAGAAGGTTATTTTAGAAGTAGCACATAGCACCAGTTTTTAAGGCTAGGTATGGCATCTCCTTAAGACATATCAGAGAGAGCACTTCAAGTCTTCTGTAGAGAAACAGTCCACATGTGGTAAGGAGGAAAGGTAGAAAAACTGCATCCTTAGAAAGTTTAACAAGGTGCTTATGTGATTAGTGAACTGTGTGGACTTCATTTAAATAAAACCTTTCCACATGCTGTGCAGTGTAGCTTTTATTGCCCTTTTTAGGAACATTTCTGCAGTGATAATATTAATGCAAAATGATCCTTTAAGAATGTTGTCTGTACAGGCTCTTCCTACTTGCTCTGCATACCATCAGAGATCAGGGATGCTTTAATAAAGGCTTATTCATTATGTGCTTGTTTGTGCCCATCATTTCACCTACTCAGGCAAATTATTTTTTTGTGATTTTTGAGTTTGAGGGGTTTTTTTATTAATTCTGAGAACTCTGCAAAAATCCTCACACTGTATATAAGTTTAGTACTTCAGATATATGTGTAACAAACAATTATTGTAATCAGCCACTCTGGTAAGCAGAGCAACCAAGCCGGTCACACGGTAATAAAAGCTTACTTACATTAATGAAGGATGGTATGCTGATTGTGTGCAAGAGTTTCTTGAATGTGCTCGGAAAAGCTCCAAAGTCTGTTTCTGCCTTTATGACCCGTTCTTCCAGTCCAGCTACGCTATTTCCAACCATCTTCACAAAAGTCTAAGGTAGGAAAAAAACAAAACAAAACCCAAAAGAAATCAAACTTTTTCACTAATAAATTAAAACAAGGTTATGTATTGCATGTCAGCAGTGAAAGTTTCATTACTTAAACAAAGAGTCAAAAACTCCATGCTCTGTTTCCCCTTCCACCCACAGCAAGCCCATTTTATTGCTAAAAATTACCTGAGATACTTAAAAGGCTGCAAAACCAGGTTAAATCTAATAAAATAACCAGTCATCCTTTTTCTATCTGCCTTTCAAATAACTAATATGGACTTGTCAGAATTTGAACTTCTAAGTGCCTTTCTACTAAAAGGGGGACCAAGGTCCTGAATCACAGTTTTGAAGCTTTGACAGGGATCAACAGATCTCTCATTCTACAAGTACCCAGGCAATAACAGCTCCCAAGGCAATAACTTTGAAATATACTAAAAGAAAACAAACAAACAAAACCTAAAAAAAAAAGGAAAGCGGTCCTACTGCTCTCCAAAAAAAAAAGTCTGCCTTGCTTCAAGCAGCAAATTAAAAAAATGTATTTTTATAAAAGGGCATTTTATTTTAGAATGCCTATAGTGTCCAGAAATTCTTAATAAATTATCTTTACTGTCTCTGAAGTATTGAACTCAGATTGGATAAGGAGAGCAAAACAGATCTGAGTCCACTCCACGTGCATGTACACACACACACACAATTATAGCATATCACTGATTCTTCCCTCCTGTTAAGAAATTGAATACTTGTAAAAGATATCAATTACATACCTCTAGTTTGTCAATTTTCCTGTATATGTGTCTCATTTCTGTAGCTTTTGTGTAAATTTGAGGTAAACTTTCATTGACAACTTGAGACGAATCACTTCGAATCTAAAGATTCAAAGAAATAATAATTTAAAAAGGCGAATAAAACAAGTGTTTAGTAGATTTCATTCTGGAAACTAGAACTGTGCTCCAATTAACAGATTAAAACGCAGGTTAAAAATAACAGATTTAGTCTAGTATTTCTATACTAATACTAAAGTACTAAGTAGCTTGTGCCTTTGAGGAAAATTTATTTTGCATGGGCAAATATTTACCTTTATAATTTTATTAAAAATAGGCTGCTACACCCTTTTCAGAACTAAGAGATGGAACATTTCCCAAGACATACTAAATAATCAAATATATTAAACTAAAACTTTTACTTAAATTTTACTACATATACATTTCCTCAACTTTGCTGAAAAAGCCAGGCCATAAAATATTGTTTTATTTGTTCAAAAAAAAATACAGTAAAGTTCCCCATAGAGCAATGCAGAAGAACTATGTGTGCTATGCTTTAAAAGACAGCCTGTATATCAGCAACAGCTTATAGGAACTTTCGATTCAGTCCTCCTGTCTCGCCCCATGCGAAAGTGAAAACAAAGCTGCCTTTCTGATGAAAGGGTAAGAAAGAGTCCCTTGAAGACAAATCAAGCTTTGGAGGCCTGGCAGCTCTGATGAGATACTTTGTTTACTAAACCCACATAGAATGTCTTTACGTATTTTAAAGGAGAAGCAGAATATCATATTGCTCTTTTAAATTTCTGTCACTGCACTGTTCAAAATGGGATTCTATGTATGTACATGGACAGATACACAAATACAGTTATGTATTTATACAGTTATACAGACATATTTTGCTTTGACGTGAAAGTTCAATAGTTTTCATCCATGACTTATCTAATTATAAAAATGAGCTCTCAAGTTATCAAATGTGTTTTCATACTGGAACTTGCCTAGACCAAAGGCTGCTTCCTATCTGTCTCACTGGAAAAGATACATTAAACCATACTCTAACTTCTAAAACACAACTATATGCCAATTACACATACCATGTCCAGCATTGCCACGAATTCATCCACTCTGGTCAGCAAATCTTCTAGACTCTTGTCTAAACTCTCTATCTGCAAAACAGAAATACTTTAAAGGTACCTGAAAACTGGGCTGCGCTGAGCGATAATGACGGGACACGCTGCCGTACCGCACTCCCACAGACCTACACCAAGCCCAGGGAACCGGCACAGCCCGTCCAGCCGCCCCACTTCAGAGAGCTGCCCTCAAGCAACAACCTCTACCCCCGTCACCCCCAGCTCCACTCCGTGCGCCA